AATAATAAACCACTGAAATGAGATTGTTTCAATTCTTGTCAATTTGTTTTTCTTTTTAATAAAAAAGTCATTTGATTACTACTAACAAGAAAGATCAAGAATATGTGGCCTTTTGAAGAACCATTCACTGCCGCATTCTCTGAACTTACGGTATATATAGAGCCACCAATGTGTAATAAGAACACTTTGGGGGTAAGGAGATAATGAGACAGCTCAAGTTCAAACAGAATTCAGGAAAGAAGGAAGTAATTTGAACATTCAGCTATTGGAGCAACATCTTAACAAGATAAAAAAAGGCTGCCTTCATAAGGCCTTGTATTTGCTTATTTCCAGATAAATATTTATGGACTACTAAGATGTAAAACCTTGGTCTACAAACCTCTCTTAAGCTGTACAATCCTGCCCATAGCACTGAACTGTCATAACATGCAAGTATTAAACCCAATGTGTTTTGTTCAATTGGATGAACATCCTTTAATTCTTAGAATATTACTTAGAAGCAACTCCCATTGATTTTCTTTTGATATCTATGTGATGTGTTTTAACTGCCAGTTAACATCCTGATCATTCCAAATTATTTATTACATTTCTGTACCATCCTTCCAGGTATCTCAGAAAAGCACACATGGGTCCCCCTCCCCATCTCAATCCTGTAAGGTAGATTATAGCAAATGTGACAAGACAAATTGTGTAGCTTTTTGGTGGCCTTTCTGGCATCTTATTGGGCAGGAGAGTGTTGTTTATTTTTTTAGATGGACAAATGCACCAAAAGTCGATCCACAAAACACCCCACACAAATATAGCTGTTTGTCACTTTGGGACTTTGTGTAGGCAGTGATGCACAGATAAAATAAATGAACAACTGAGATCAGCCAAAGGGTGCTATGGCTGAGTGAGAAGTTGAACCCAGATCTCCCCACTCAAGTCCAGCATGCTGCCCATTATAGCTCACAGACATTCCATCATACTTGCATCATTCCATACTGGCACCATTATCTCAGTGAAGCAGGTTCTGAAGATCTGAACCGAATCTGCCCCTAAATGTGTTACGAATGGAAACATTGCATCTTGACCCTAAATACATTGGGTTAACCCAGAGAAAGTCAATCCTGCCTCAGTACTGCTGCAGAAAGGGGGGACTGCAGGAGAGAATGAGCTCAGGTGCAAAGTCTTAGGCTGAAATATGCCCTGTGAGAATCATTGCATTCTAAACCATGACTGGCTAGCAAGCACTTCATGCGTTTTAAGAGGCAGGCCGGCGACACCAGTGGGTACACATAGATGTATGTGTACATACAACAATTAATCCCTTGTTCTTTTTGTCTTGCTCATCGTTATGCCTTGTAATCTTTGCCTTTTCCATTGCTCTCTACTTGCTCCACTGTCAAACCTTAGATTGTAAGCTCCTTCGGACAGAGGACTGTATCAGTTCTTTTTTTAAAGTAGACAGTGTCATTAATGGCAGTGCATGTATCAATATAAATTCAAAGTAAAGTTTCAATACTAATTTTGAGAAATTAGTTTTACAGTGGTACCTCGGGTTACAGATGCTTCAGGTTCCAGACTCTGCTAACCCAGAAATAGTACCTCGGGTTAAGAACTTTGCTTCAGGATGAGAACAGAAATCACGCGGCAGCAGCAGGAGGCCCCATTAGCTAAAGTGGTGCTTCAGGTTAAGAACAGTTTCAGGTTAAGAACGGACCTCCGGAATGAATTAAGTACTTAACCCGAGGTACCACTGTATTTACAATGTTCATATGCTGCCAGATAGCAGCTTACTCTGTTACTGCAAGACCACAGAGAAAGTGCTGTGACCTTTGTGGTTCCTCTCAATATAGTGCTTGAAAACTGTATGCTGACAGAACCTGGAATCTTCACTGGCCCCATCACAAGCAGCAACCAAAAAAAGTTGGATTTTAAATTAGAATAATATAGTTTACCATGGAGTAGAATTTGCAAAGTTGGCAAGTTGGGCAAATTGGTGGTTAGGGAATAACCACACTTGTGTTAGGATGTCTTCATCCAGCAATTAGTGCTTTGCAAACCACAGAGATTTTCCCCATTTTTTCTATGGAACTTCCCATAGAATAAAGCTACTATTCAGCACGCAATGTGCAGCAAACCGGGCTCTGTTCTAAGAGGACTAAATACAAATGCCATGTTGACTTAAGCATACGTATGTTGTTTTTCAGCGGGTTTATGTGACCGAACAGTGCTGGATCTTAGCCAAAATATTTATAATTCTGAAATTCCCAAAATTTAAAGAAGGACACAATGGAGTAAATGACAATGCTATCCTCCAAACTTTCCTCTTAAATTAAATTCCTATTTTCTTAAACCTCCAGTACATGGGAGCAATACATTTGTGCCCAATCCATCTTTCACTCTATAAGTATTTCACTGGCATTACAATTTATTTATTTTTACTGACTTTACTGGCTGGGTGTGCAGTTCCTTAAATGATGCCTCTTGGCCAGGCAACTATAGGCCTAATTCACCATGTAATCACTCTAATTTCATGCCCGTTAGATTCTATAGAAATCCGTGGTGTCACTCTCTTGTAAAACAAGACTTGCACAATGCCAACACTGGACCCGCGTGTCGGCTGTGTTATCAGGAGCTGGCTTTTAACAGGTTCCGATCATGCAATTTCCTCTGTCAAGGGAAGCCTCACACTTCTCTGGAGGCTGCCAAAAAACAGCTAATTGGCAATTATTCAAGTAGATAAATGCTTTCATACTAGTAAGTTCTTACAGAAGGGGGAAAAATCACTCATGAATAATAGTTACCTTGGAAGGAGAATATCCAAATCACTAATATAAATTGGGCTAGGATTACACTCTCTCTTTTTCTGCATAAAGGAGCAAGTCATTAGATTTAGTTTCACATGATCAGATAAGATTTAAAAACAGTTTATGACATTTCCAGTGTGCATTTTGAGACAGCTGACAGATAATATAATCCATTCCCTAGTCAGAGAGCACTAGGTTTTGAGGATCAAGAAACAGTCTTCAGAGATTAGTGTTCTGCTGTAGCCTTTAGGTTCAATGGCCTGATCCTCAGCTCATGCAAGTCCAAGCAGCTACATGGTAGATCTGGCCCCAGATAGGCAGTCCTACCCATAAATCAGTGTGTGGAGTGTGTACGAAGCATAGATTTAAAAAGAAGCATTAAGAATTGTAACATAAAATGTGACCCAACTGAAGAAGTGTTATCTCTCTCTCACACACAAAAACTATGCTTTGACTGTTTTCTGGGGTACAAAGACCACATTCTCTGTTGATGAAACGGCAAAAAACGTCCTGTTTTCTTTTGCTTCCAAGAAAGGATATTTAGAGGTCTCTCTTCTTCTAAAACAGTGCTCTCTTCTTGGGTGTGGATTAAATGCAGATCTTGGAATTGAAGGGAATTTACATAAGTGCTGTTTGTAAAAGCAGAAGCTATTCCTTGCATTATCACCCGAACATTTAAATCTTAATGACAGGCATTGTTGCCTAAAAGATGGCGATTTTCCTGCTGAGAAACTGCATTAGATTCAAGGGACACAGCTCATTTCCATTCACTCAGCAGTCTCTCTAGAAATGACATGCAGTGCTTGAAACTGTTTATTTCCAAATTCAGGCCTCCTCCGCATCAGTCATCAGCTTCAATTACCAGTTTTCCCGGAGCCGAGCCATCAGGCAGCCTGACATCAGGGCCCAACCTAATTCCCACCTTCTCCAAAGTCAAGAGCATAATGTGCAGATGAAAAGGTGGGAAATAGCCTGGACTTCATTAGCATGCAGAGCTTGCTTGTTCATTTGCTTGCTGCGAATGAAAGTTCTGACACTCTGGCGCTTTTCCTGCAATATGAGAAAAAGGCCTCTTCAGAGTATATGATGTCCTTACTGGCAAGGAAAGGTCATCAAACAGGCAGACACTGACCTTGCTCCCTGCTCTTCATGACTAGTTTATTGATTCCAGGAACACCTCATTACATGCTGGATCAACATATTATTGCCATGTTCAGTGACTGAATTGTTTACAAGTGTCTTTATCGCTGGCAAAAGCCATCCACATGATGCACGGCTGCACTCATTTGGATGTGACCTGCCAATTATGTGTTATCCGATATGTTGCTGGGTGTCTTGATCCTTGACCGGGTCTGCTGCCCTGCATCAGCGCAGTCCCATTTACTACTTCTTTCTAACCGCTCTTTGGGAAAGTATCCATTAGCCTGTCAGTGTGTAAATTTGTTTTCTTACCTCCGCTACTGGAAATCAGGAGCGTTATTGCGCCGTCATTTGCTATGCATGAGGTTCATAATCAGTTGAGGAAAGGATTTTTTTTATGGCGTCTCATGATAACCTACACAATTTGCAGTCAGTATGCATGGCGCGAGAGTAATGGGACTTGTTACAGAGCCACACATATAGGCCCTACGAGAGACCTGTCATATTTTATTCAGGCACAGCTCCTGAAAAGCCATGCAAGGCCAATGATTTACTGGCAGGGGAGAAACCAGAGAAACAATCTTCTACCACCGCCACCTCCCCAAGCTGCTGGTTGCCTGGCTCTAAAGATTTGATAACTTGCCACACAGGGAATGGCTCCCCCCCCCTTCCCGTTCCGTGTCTGTGTCCCCTCACTTCTATTTTGCATTGTTATCAGCTAAATACATGCTTGGTTTTATTTCAACTCAAAGCCATAATTTATGGTTAGTATTATCAGAAGTAGTAGTGGGTATATAGTGCAATGCTTTAGGGCCTGGCTGGGGACACCTGGAGCCCCCCAGGTGTTACTGGAAGGTAGTTCACATCTTCCCCTTGGGGCTGATGGGAGTCCAATAACAGCTGGAGGCGCACAGCTTCCCCTGCATTGCTTTACAGAGTAATAAAAGCAAAGCTCCCTCCATGCCTTATTCTTTGTGAAAGGTGCCTTACAACGCAGTGTGAACAGGGCTGCGCTGCTGGATGCCCCTTGCCTTGTTGTAACCACTTGCCTGGCTCAGCCCCCTCCCCATATCCTTGTATTGCAAGAAGGCTGAGGGGGGAGCTGATTGGTCTTGTGAAGACTGCTCCATGTGATCCCGAGCTCTGTGTGATTGGGGCTCCCAGTCACGTGGGAGAAGCCCCCACAAATATAACCAGATCCTCGCTTCAGATCCACTTGCAGCACAGAGAGGTCAGGATTAGACTCAGACAAACTGGTATAACATTGGGGGTGGGGCCAGCAGTCCAGCTCCATTACCCGTTGCTGTCATGGAGCCCTTCACCTGGAATAATCTGTGGAGAGGGCTTATTATTAGATCCATAATTTACAAGATCCATTTGGGGCACCAAATTTTGGGCACGCACAATGCGCAATATTACAAAAAATGACCCCAATCCGCCCCTGATAGTGGTAACATTAAAAGGCCTCAGGCCAAGCAGAAAGTGCCTATGGGGTGACTCCCCCCAAATGCCATGCAAAGCATTTGACAGGGAAAGCACCGCTGGAGCACAGGGGGAAGAGCAAAGAGATTCTGGGGCTGCACCCCTGACCATTGAGGAAGAGAGGCGGGGACAGCGCAGGTCACGCTGCAGCAGGAAACAGCACACCCAGTCCTGTAGACCTGTGCACAATCACAGTAACCTGTTTGTAGGGTTTTGTGAATACTAAAGGATTAAGCCCTTTTCGGCGTACTGTTTGACAGAAACAACACATATGTTTGGGAATGCTGTATCTAAAATCTGGGGTAGCATAGTGGCTATGTGTAATGTGTCTAGTGAGCTGGGAAATGGTTGGATGAGAACGTCCCCAAATCATTAATTTAATGGGGCCTTAGGCAAGCTACTCCTCTTCACTTCCAGCCCTTCTTCTACGGCAACATGGAGATAATGATGCTTACCTGGGATATGTTCAACCTGCTCCATGCACAATATTTCTGTAATTTTTACAACACCCCTGGAAGGTAAGCTACCAGCACTGAAAAGTGCTACACAAATCTTTGCAATGAGCCAACAGTGTGACGCGGCAGCTAAAAAAGCCAATGCAATTCTGGGCTGCATCAATAGGAGTATAGCATCTAGATCAAGGGAAGTAATAGTGCCACTGTATTCTGCTCTGGTCAGACCTCACCTGGAGTACTGTGTCCAGTTCTGGGCACCACAGTTCAAGAAGGACACTGACAAACTGGAACGTGTCCAGAGGAGGGCAACCAAAATGGTCCAAGGCCTGGAAACGATGCCTTATGAGGAACGGCTAAGGGAGCTGGGCATGTTCAGCCTGGAGAAGAGCAGGTTAAGGGGTGATATGATAGCCATGTTCAAATATATAAAAGGATGTCACATAGAGGAGGGAGAAAGGTTGTTTTCTGCTGCTCCAGAGAAGCGGACACGGAGCAATGGATCCAAACTACAAGAAAGAAGATTCCACCTAAACATTAGGAAGAACTTCCTGACAGTAAGAGCTGTTGGACAGTGGAATTTGCTGCCAAGGAGTGTGGTGGAGTCTCCTTCTTTGGAGGTCTTTAAGCAGAGGCTTGACAACCATATGTCAGCAGTGCTCTGATGGTGTTTCCTGCTTGGCAGGGGGTTGGACTCGATGGCCCTTGTGGTCTCTTCCAACTCTATGATTCTATGATTCAATGCATCATTATTTCATTGTGCTCACATCTTGGAAAGCCACAGTTAAGAATGCATGCAGTGAATAGGCATAAGAATCCTGTTTGCCCGTGACTGCATCCTCTGTTGTTTTCCTCTCTGAACCCTTGTGTGGGAAACATTCCATGTGGCAGAGCCTGAGAGGCTTCCACAAACCTGGCTGCCGCAGCCTTGTTGGTGATGCAAGTCAGGACGCACTTAGACTTGTACTTCTGGATGTGTGTTCATCCTGTCATCAACTCCCCCCCCCCCCGGGAGTGTGAATTTTGTACACGTTTGTACGTGTGGTGCTGAGCACCACATATACAAGAAAACTGACTGCTGGTTGCTGTCTTTCTCCATATATGTATTAGAATATATGCAGATAGTATGGGTGGGGCTTTTGTGAATTGGAGCTTATTAACCTATACAGGAAACTCCCTTATGTCAGAACATTGGTCCATCGAGATCAGCGCTGCACATGTTGGCATTGACCCGTGGAGCTTTTCCATACACAGTATGTGCAGTGCCCCTGAGATCTGGCCTTTCCCCCAGGATCCCATTAAGGTCTATGGGACAAAGTAAACAGGTTGGACTCTAGGATGCTATTAAAGAGACGGGGATTGCTTGGCTCTAAACCCAGCCATGCACATCATCAGGATGTAGGGCGGGTTTCCTTTAGCCTCACTCCAGTATATCCTCAAGTGCACTTTGTTACTTTTCTCCATATAAATGAATATCTGCCATTCACTCAGTGGCTAAAGAGAGCACAGAGACATATTGAAATCCCCAGAGATCTGCAGTATACAAACCCACCCTCCTCCACACAAATCCTACCTATCAAAATGATGGTTCTTTTGCTGCTACTCTTATGAAACCAGAAGCAGGTAGTTCTCCTGAGTTTGGTCCCTGAAACCTTGCCAGAGGAAAATAAATACATGCCTTTAAACTTTCACCCACCTATGACACAGCTCAGCACATTTCCTCTCCATAACTTTATTATCCTGGTACATTCCCCAGTACTTCCTTCTGTTATCTCAAAAACTCTGTTGAGGTTTTGATAGTATGAAAAGCTATTGACAACTCTTTCTCTTATAACAATTATTGAATATAGTGCTGGTAAACTGAGGGTCAGAGGCCCCAGCTTGCAAGGGTGATGAGAGGGGCGATGTCGTGTGTGTGACCAACATGCCTCCCTCCCTAAGCTGGGCAGAAGCTTCCTGGGCTTTGGGAAGGAGACACCAAGCTTTAATACTTTAATATTTTAATTTACTGGGAACATCCAGGGGACTAGCCTAGTCCCCCTAGTCCACTGACCACACACCACTGGTAAGGGGGTGTCTAGGTCCTGATCTCAGGCTGAAAGCATCTTTCAACCTATAAACTTGTCAGAGGGAAGCAGAGATCACCTTGTCACTTCAGGTTCCCAGCCCAAGTTGAACAAATGTTAAAAGATCAGCTGGAATGGAATTGAAGATTGCTATCAGTTTGAAGATCTGCAGGTTGTTATTCTTTTCAGATAAAATTTTGGGGTTTGGATGAGCCAAAGAGATTCTTGGGTCATCCAGGCTGAATAAAACACTAATTATCTATGCCTTATACTCCAAAGCAAAGCTGCTAAGGTCATGATAGAAAGTTTGATTGGGCCATAAGAGTAATAATTGTTAGGTGCACAGCCTGATGGTACAAGGAAATGTGGGGTGTAACATAAGCAGTCAAGTACAACATTTCCTGTTTGCCCGGAGTGGACATGCAGGGGGCTGTTACTCCAGCCAGGAGGACTTCCTGTCACACCAGGTCTGGAGCATCCTCCCCCTGCATGTGACCAGGTAGGTGGGCATGACCCTGTGAGACCCCATAAAAGGGCTGGTCATGCAGCCATCTTCCCTTCTCTTTTGCTGCTCTCTTCGAATACTGATGCTTTTGCTGTCTGCTGGCTCTCAGCCAGCAGCACATGGGCTTAATCTCCATATGGGATGAACTCAAACTGTCTTCTGTAACTACAAGCTAAAGCCTGCCTTCAGGGAACCTACTGTGAACTGAATGTGAGTAAACTTCTTATTACTTTTAAGAAAATACTGTTGTGCCTTTATTCTTTTTAAGAGGGAAACAAAGGGGATTTACCAGGATCAAACCCAATCTGGACAAAGCCGGATTGGATAGCTTAAGTAAAAAGATTCAAACGAATCTACCAACTAGCTTCCTGCTATATTCTGGGGAATGTACTTTGCTTCTGACTCACTAGTATGCATGTGGAAGGATTATATTTAATCAATATATCCTCTCCTACTATCCATAGCATTTCCACAGGAAATAGAGGAGTTCATAAACATAAAGCTGAAAATGGTTGCATTTAATTTTCCATGTTTCTTATTGAAGGATCATAAATGAAAATCTGATCTTAGAGTATCTACAGTTATGGTAAAGGTAAAGGGACCCCTGACCATTAGGTCCAATCGTGACCAACTCTGGGGTTGCGGCGCTCATCTCGCTTTACTGGCCGAGGGAGCCGGCGTACAGCTTCTGGGTCATGTGGCCAGCATGACAAAGCCGTTTCTGGTGAACCAGAGCAGTGCACGGAAACGCCGTTTACCTTCCCGCCAGCGCGGTACCTATTTATCTACTAGCACTTTGACGTGCTTTCGATCTGCTAGGTTGGCAGGAGTATAGAAATTAGGAGACAATATATTTGTTAGATATTATTCTTCCTTACTCATGTTTGTGAGTTCAGCAGAGTACACTCCTTTGTCAGCAAAAATAAGGAAGCTGCTGATAAGCTAATATTAGCCTTTAAGTAATCCAGAGGCTTTATTGCAGACTGGATTTTCTGGTATTTCCCCCTTTTCTTCCTTAAAAACAATAAACCCCCCAAACATAAAGATTTACTCACTCAGTTTCACAACAGCAATCTTGAGGCAGGCTTAAAATGTAGTTACAGACATATATTGTAGTTTAGATCAGAACTGGAGTCTGAGCTGTGACTCAGACTCAGCACATGGCCTGCTACATCACTGATGAGGCATTGAAGAGAAGAGATGAGAGAGAGATCAGGAATCAGGAAGAGCACGCCAGGGATGGGACCAGCTTTAAAGGCTGTGCCCCTTTACCTGGTTGGCTGAACAAAGCAGGAGTGACTCTCACAGGGAGGATTTCCTGTAGATCTGAGATCCAACTTTCCTTGTGTGTGCCTTTCTTTTTTAAATCCTTTTTATTAGGTTTTTTTCCTCTTATAACAATATCTGTAATCATTACATTACATTCAAATTTTGGTTTCCCCCTTTCCTACTGACTTCCCTCAACTTCCGTCCCTGGTTTATTACATCTCATATTACAATCTGCTATTTGTATATACTTCCATATTGTCATATTATTATGTTTCTTGTTGTTTGTAAATAAAATTATTTATTTATTTTATTAAATCTTAATTAAATTTAATTTTAATCTTGTGTGTGCCTTTCGAGTGATATAGAAAAATAGGGATGGCTGGCTTTTGCTGCCCAACTCCTCAAGGGACCGAGTCTCCCAAGTCTATGACTGGTCAGAGATGACTGGATGGAGGCAGGATGCAGTGAAAGCAATGCAGATCTTTATTTTTCTGTTGCAACAGAGTTCCTTCCCGCCTAGCAAGGAGGGAAGAGAGACCCAAAACCAAGAAAAAACATCTCTTTTAAGCGTTTGCATTTTGGCGTGGAGTCAGAATTACATCACACATATGGTGAGGTTACTGTGGCTCAAACAGGCCAAGGTGTGATATTCCCGAGGATTTAGCAAGTTTTATAGTTCCAGACACAGTTTACACCAAACATTAGCATATGATAAGACACTCAGGATGCCCGTCAGACATCCCTCAGTGCAGAGCATCTGGGCAAACAATGACAATTAATACAAAGGAGGTTCATAGATATGGGAGAGGAATCCCCTTCAGGAACTTCCCCTGATTGCTGCCTGCCTCCTTGTTCTCAGGCAAGGGGGATTAAGGAGGCAGAGGAAATACTGAGAGTCTTTAGGAGAGCCAAGATGGCTTTTGCATTGCTCTCCTGTACTATTTTAGACATGTGGTTTATATACTTATGTATGTTTACCCTGTGCAATTATCAACATTTATTCCATATTTGAGACCTTATAATTCTAATAACACTAGCAAACACACATTGTTGGTTTGACTGTATGAAAAATATCCCACATAAAAGACTTGAAAAATCGCTGCAACTCCCGTAATAGGACCTAATATTTAGTATGTTTGGTGGAGCTAGCAAACACAATGTAGAATTCAAATTATGTTTCAAGTCTTTTAAAAGTCTTTATGAATCTACCAACATTGGACTAAGCTTCAGATTCTATAAAGCAACATTGAAAAATCACTGTAACTGTAACACCTGCTAGAAAAGCTAATTTTAGCTTTCTACTGTTGCGAAATATAGATAACATCTATGAGTTAGTGAGCGAGTAAAGATCCAAAGATCTTCATATGAAATTATTTCACCTGGTGCATGTCATGCTTTGGGGTCCCAACTGGCTCTCGTGCTACAATTAATAAATTGAAG